TCACCGGCCCAAGTGGCTCCGTCGGCTCACGAAGGGAAGGGTGGAGGAGTCCGATGACGTCATGCACATCGACGTCACCGGACTCCTCCCCTCTTCCCTTCGTTAGCCAAAGGAGCCACTTGTGGACATCGACATCACCGGACTCCTCCCCCTTTCCCTTCGTTAGCCGACGGAGCCACTTGGGGATGGGGGGAGGAGTCCGGTGACGTCGATGCCCGTGGCGTCACCGGATCTCCGACGGGACTCCCGGAAGCCGGCGGAGAGGTGAGTGTTTTCATTAGCGATCAAAATAATTTTAATCGATCAAAAAGTTTAACGATTAATCGAGAAATTAATCGTTAATTTTCGCAGCCCTATTATTTATATATAATTGTTTATATTTGATTAAAAATGCACTTAGGAGATATTTGCTGCGTGCATATTGTATTTTTGGCCCTATTCATATGTGTGCATTTCTTTGCCATAAAAAGCAACTCACAGTGTGGTACTGTACAGTATTGCAGTACCACACGTTGCCCTTTTTGCAACACACAGCCACCTAGAAGTGCAATGGGGTGCCATTCAAATTAACACAATATGGTGTGTACAGGTCCTTAAAACTCCCAATGCAGGGCTATGTTGGACAGACTGCGGCACACACTTTATCATTTGCAATTGTCCATAAACAGGCACATTGACCAGTAATTTTAATAGATTGTGTACACACTGCACACTACTGACCAGCATGAGAGTTTACTAAAGTGTATATATTATCTATTATCTATCTTTGTATTCCAGACTGAATGATCTGTCAGAGAAAGATTCCTATGTGCATGGCATATTGTCTTGCAGTTTTAGGGTTCTGGTTTAAATTCCCACCAAGGACACTTTATGAATGGAGTTTGTAGCTATATTGGCTTCCACCCCAAATTGGCCCTTCATTATGTATGACTACACATTATATAAACAGGTAAAAATAAAATAAGTATACTAATGAAGTCTACAACATGATCATAATACATTTCTATGTAAGAGTATTTGAGGTTAAAATGCCATCTTTTTCTGTCTCTGAAGAAATGTGAATTATGGTGACACTTGCAGCAAGTTGGGGTGCCCATTATCTTCAGATTATATTTCAATTTCATATTATTTATCCTTCCACCCACATTTGTGTTATTTCACAAAACTCAAGGTTATGATATAGGTCAGCAAGTGACTACTTCAAGAGCAAAAAAATGCTGTATTTCTCGATGAATACAAGTTTGCACTTACATTTATTCTAATGATCTACTGAATAGCAAAAAATCTTTTTTTTCCACATTGTTCTGCATTTGGTGACAGATTTAGTTGTTTTTTTTAAAGGTAGTTTAAAGGCTTTGAAAACTGCAACTTTTCATTTTCTTCTACACTGCAAATTGTGAGCTTTACTGCTTTTTTCTTCCTCAGATCCCTTGAAGTTTGGTATCCAGGTTACCAGGAAAGAGAATTCACAGAACAGAGAAATCTTCCTATTTCTGTAGGATGTGTTTACTTTTACACGATGATCCCTTGAAATAACGCCGCCTTGGTTTGCATAGGGAGCTCATAAAATAAACACATATTTGGGAAGACATCAATCTATGAAGGATAATTGCATTACTAATTTCAATAAAGATTTTTTAAAACAGAACTACGTGGGAGAATGAGAGCTAAAACTTTTCTAAGGAATGGATAGCCATCATATGGCACTGTAGCACCTGTCCTTGAGATAAGGCAGGCTGTGTATTGTAGTTCAACAGCTGAAGGACTAGGTCTTGAATGCTTTGTAAAGTACAGAAGCATAGCTGGGCACATTTACTATATTTAACGTACATCTGTCGTGGAGGCTTTAATTACATAGTATACCAGTGTTTTACAGAAAGGGTTCCACCATTTATCCAGATCGCAGGCACTTCATTATCATCGGTCAGTATTCATTTTTCAGCACTCCATTGTCAGGAAACTGAATTCCTATTGGTTGCAATGGTAACCCCATTTTACAAATAATGTCATAAATGATCTTTGCAGTCTTATTGAATAAGTCCATATAAAAACAACAGTGGGATCCTAAAAACAGACGCTTTGTGACTGAAAACCAGTTTCCGTTTTATGTCCTAAGGTGTACCTGACCAATTACATTCCCAATGCAGAAGTGCAGAAATCCTTGTGGTGCCTCTAAGTACCACTGCTAATCTTTACATTAATCCCTGGGTGCCATGGAGCTCCTGGGTCAAGTCTATACATGGGGCCTTGACTTCTGAAGAGTAAGCTGTGGCCAACTCCATTATGAAGCCCCACACTCTCATTCAACTGTGGAATGTAAAGCTGGCCATACACTATGCAAACTTTGGCTGGGTCTTAAAGAACCGGACAAAATGTGCACAGTGGGTGCCGCTGCTGGCACCCTTTTGGCTGGCATTCCTCAAATCGCTGGCTGTAAAATCTTATACTGACAGCAGCATACAATAAAGACAGCGGGAGATTCCTTGAACAACCCCTGTAAGTGTTGGAGGAATCTGTTTTATTTTCTTCATTCAGCCCACAGGTTGAACAAAGAAAATATTACAGTGTATTGGCAACTTTGGAATTTCCATATGTAGTAGAACTGCTGACATTTGACAGCTGAATTACAGATGGTGTGGTATAGGATGGGAATTGGGTAGGGCCTAAACCAGGCCGAATATACAGCCTCACCTTAGGATCCGAGGGGCTTCTTGAGGACACAATGATCTCTTACAAGACTAACATAGGTAATTGAAGGAACCACAATGTACCTGCAATTCAAATAGGTTACTATCTTAAAAACATTTTGGTGCAGATCAGTTTCACTCTAAAGGGTCAGTCCACCCAACACTGATATTCCACATCATGGAGATGGCCAATGAAGTCTCAATATTTAAGGTAAACGTGTCACAAATGTGGGTAGTTGTGTCTGGATATATGATGACAATATGAAGAGGCAGCAGTTACATTTGGTGAAAAGCATAAATTAGTAGATGCAGTTAGATGAAATTATATGCAAATTCCAGGTTTTATGATACATTTCAAGCTTGTCCTCAATCCCTTTTACCGCTACTGACCCATATTATGGGTCACATCAAAGGGCTAAAAGATGAGCTCGGGAAATTGGAGAAGGTGGAGCAAGCTTCAACTCTAGGAAAAGTTGAGATTTGCATGCCTGTATGTCTGGAGATACTGATCATTTGTCATGTGAATACTGAAGTAATGTGTTTTTGTAGTTTTCATAAGATGTCTAATTTGAAATGCCCAGTTTTGTAACAGATTCAGTTTAATACACAGACAAAAAAAAATTACATTTGAGTTATAGCCGGACCATAGTTATTATATTGAGCATCTTTCCATGCATGCAATATATGCTTTATTAATAAAGGGCACTACAAGTGTACAACTTCTGAAAGGATAAACTTTTATTTTCTTGGATGACAGCTTAACTGGCAAAAAGAAAAGTGCAATTTTGCTTCCCGCATAAAGAAATGGACAGCCTTAAATTACAATACTGGTGTACTGTTTATGATTATCGCACTGGGTCAGTGTATGATATAAATTGCAGTGCACTTTTATGACCACAATGTTCAAGTTCTTCATGAATATAATAATTACATAAAGATTTAAAAAAAAATAAGCAAAATTAAGCTGCCTTTTTTATTCATTTACTTATCAAGATCATATAAATGCAAAAAGAATATATTTTACATAGCAACAGAGGAAAACATACATGCAATTGTCTTTTGCATTATGTAACCTTGAAAATGGCCATTAATGGCTTCACCCTTACAGCAGACCGTTGTAACATTCCATCTTCACTGGAGATTTCTGCTTCAAGGTGTTTCCTTTCCACGTGCGAAGCTACTGTATGTCCAGCATATATGAGGAAATGTATCTGTATGTAATAACTGCTCAGTAACATTGGTCCAGGGAGAACCAGAAACTGTCACTAGAGAACAAAATAATCATTTTCCAGTGTTAACATTAGCAGATCAAACATCCTTCCGCAAGTGGTCTCTTTCTCCTACATGGCAATCTGTTTCCACACTCAGTTTCCAGCATGTAACTCTAAGGAACTTCACCTTCTCAAATCTTAAATATTGTCCTCATCCAACATTTTGTTCACACCGTCACATAGTCTCTGAAGATGGGGTTTGTAAGGTCCAAATGGATTGTATAGAGCAGCTAAAAACTCACAATTTGAGAAGTGGTCAAACACATTATTAATACGTCCGTGGGACTTTGCTGTGAGATGACGTTGGATGACCTGATGAAGAAGGTCGCGACATTCATTCAATAATTTTGACAACACATTGCGGTCAAATGTATAATCAACTTGGTGAAAGCTGACCACAGTCATGGCCAACTGGTGGACCTTTCTCTTGAATTTCTCCATCAGTGCAATTTCATCTTGGTTAAACTGGCTATTTCTGTAAAGAACAGCCAGCTTTATTACGGTCTTGATGAGGTTCTTGATGATCTTCTCAGCATCTTTCTTGGTTTGCGTGAACTCTTTAGTGACTTGATAGAGCTCATCTAACACTTCCCCACTGGTGTCATCAATCAAAGATGTTGCTATGTATTTCGATGATGCCATCTTGCCAAGGATCTTCTTTTGGGCTTGGACAGCCAGATATTTGGAGCTGAAAACATCTGTCGCCACTGAAATGAAATGAAAAAAATATATATAATGAATACCAAGAAAAAGAAAACCAAAATGAATATTTTTTTTTACTGTCTTACTAAAGGCAAACACCCGTGCTACTGATTAATAATAAATCCAGCCAACAATATGTACAAAAGCTGTAATTGACTAAAAATAATATTAAGAACATCACTTACACAATGCTTGTTAACTTATAGAACTTGGCTGAAACCTTTTCCTTTAGACTAACCCGAGCCTAAAAACTGTGGATACCCTTGTGGCCACCACAACCAGATTCATTTGCTTTATTGTTTTGGCAAATACTAAATCCTGGGTTGTCTCCCTATGGCAGGGGTGCCCACAAGGTCGATCGCGATCTACCAGTCGATCGCGTAGCGATCACTGGTAGATCGCCATGTCCTCTCCTCCCTCCGCTTCTCTGGAGAGAACCTTTATTTTAACATATCTCTCTTGGACGGTCATTTACACCCCTCCAAAAACCCTTCCTTTTCCTCTATTTTTTGTATTTATTGTTTTGGCAACCTGCACTAAAAAAAAGAGAGAATATGATTGGTATTAAAGGAAAGGTTTCCTTTACAGAAAAGGGGCCATTGCGGACTTCTCATTCTGCAAATGCTAAGTGCCTGGTTGTCATGCTGACCCATTTGCTGTATTACCTTGAGTCACTAACCCAGAACAAGTATGCAGATAATGGACTGACTAACTTCATTTGCAGTTTGCTTGTTCCCGGGCAGTAGTTTGCAACACTTACATTTTAAAGATTCACAGATGCAAAGCGCTGTTTTGTAAATGTATTGTAGGTCAAAAATGAAATAATAATGATGGATAAGAAGAATCTGAGGAGGTGGATAAAATAATAAGTCCAAGCCCTGTTCACATATATGATAGAGCAAAAGTAAAAAGTACAAAGGAGTGTGCTGCAGGGCTAAAAACATTGTTTTACTCACGCATGTGTAGGCACCTGCACTGCAATAGGAAACATTATATCAGTGCTTATGATTCAAAAGGTTGATGTGTGTTTTTGTTTTTTTAAAAGATGCTTTTTATTGAGTTTTCCAAGTGTCAGAGACACAATAAAATAACAAACAACCTTCATACATACAGCAATCGGGTCAACATAACCCAGGCAATTATGCAATATCTCCATCCTCTTCACATATCAGAAAAGGTTCATGTGTTTTTATGTGCTTCTGTCACATGGTGGAAAGTTTTCTCCTTAGCAAAATGCCCCCAAATTGGAATATAAACCGTGCATTGATGCATGTCAGTGTTGGCTGTGGACACATCGCAACTTACAGAAAGAAATACACAAAAATGTGTGCGAAAATGTGCAAAATGCTTCTGTCGTGCGTTTTCCTGGCATTTCCATTGAAGTCTATGGGGGCAAAATGAGCTGCAACCTGCCAAAAGAAGCTTATGTACTTTTTTTTTTTATCAGTTTGGTGTTTTGCTGCCCAGGTATGAACAGGGGCCATTGCAGATCATGGGATTTCTTGTGTGGGGCATTTTGAAGCTTTTTTTTTTCTACTGCTCAAAAAACGCTGAGGTGTGAACAGGGCCTTTTGAGTGGATACTGATGGGTGGATGTTGATGGGTTAACTCACTTGGTTCCTTTTGTATCTCAGTAACTCCAGCATCAAGACATCCCATGTTTGCTTTCCCTTTCTTTGCTCAACCACTACAGAATCTCATTTCTTTGGATGCAGACTCATTGACAGAAAGCAAAATATTAAATTAAAATATTTATTTTACTAGTAAAATAAAATAAATTCGTAGGCACAAAATAAATGAAAGAAAACAAAAGAAAAAACAGTTGGCCATGTGAGACTCCTTCCTCTTAAAGGGCGCAGCGGGCGGGCGGGCAGCCTTGGGAATTCATATATGGCAGCCTCACTCAGGCTGAAGTTTTAAAGCGTTGGAAGGGGCCAGTAGATTTTTTGCGTAGCCGATACCCTTGGATACAAATCAAATGGTGATTTCAAGTATGTCTATATGGGTTTTATATCACAACAGCCTGCATGCATGCAGAGGAACTTCTGTGAGTAGGGTTTGTATTCAGTTATTTTGCCAAAGACTGTAAATGAGACCTAAGAGTGCACAGGAAGTACAATATACACTTACATAACATTTTCTCACTTCTGTTGTTTTTTTTTTGTTTGTTTAGGGCAAGTTTTGGTCTGTGCAAGTACTAGCTCATACATAATCTGAGGACACCGATTTTGCTCCACAGATTAACAATGTTACATTGCACATGTAGCACTGTTGCATGCAATATACATGTAATGAGGAGAAGGGGGGAATCCCTCCTGTACACAAAGAGAGGCACCAGCGGAGGCTGAGCAGGAAAATGGTGCAAGCGTTCTGTATCCTGCCATTCCCATTGAAGCTTTCTGTGTATACTGGGAATATGTGATCCTTGCTGCCTATATACATCTACATATACAGTTATTTTGCAACCAAAAAGTACAACATGAGTCCATTATTGACTCACACTGCCTCTCATATCTGCATGGAATTCCAAAATGGAAAGCAGACATACAGAAACTACATTAGGTATAAATTTCAGCAGACATACCCGGCAGGGAAACTATGCTAGGAGAAACTTTAGGCTCCATTCACAATGGGGCGGCTGTCCGCGTCTATTTGGCTGCACAAATATGCGCAGAGCCGCTCCATGCAGAAAACACAATGCACATCAAAGTGCACTGTTCAGACTATTGCGGAGACTGTGCGGTACCCAAAATAGTGCAAGCACAATAATCCGGCAGCTATATAATGGCCGCAAACGAGCAGAATCTGTGCAGTTGTTTGACATATAGCGTTTGCGTCCCATGCGGTCTTCCGCATGGAAAACCGCGCAGGAATGGCAAACGCTGTATGTGAATGGAGACTTAATGACTTTTTGTTTCTGCACCTTCAAAGTCACTGAGCAAGTAGCACAATCAGCAGGCCTGACATCACTCTGACATTATTTGTCAGAAACTACCAAAGCCAAACACAGCCAGGAGCCATTTTTCAGTAGGAGGCCAATACAGGTAAATAGTACTTGCTGCCGGACAAACTTCACTGTGCACTGATCACCACAATATACAGACTCCATTTTTTATTGTACTCAAAAACATACAAACATACTTTGGAAAAGCAAAGCCCAATTCTGGTCTTCGTGTTCTCTATCCTGACCTTTGTGTTATGTTGGCTACAACTTGTCCATTTTTTTACTGTTTCTCTTGATTAGTTGAAAGTTAATAAAATTCTTTGCAAATGAAAAAGCAAAGTCCTCTTATGTTAAAAAAAAGACATCGGTGAAACGAGTAGTAAATGCAATCTACAGTTTCACAAGTTCTCACCAACAAACTTCCCCTTATTTCCACTAGCATGATACTTACTTCCTGATAACTTCTCAGAAAAACACCATTACAAAACCTGCTAATGGTAAAATATGAGGGAAGGAGAGAACGAGAGAGAGAGCAGAGAGAGAGAGAGAGAGAGAGAGAGAGAGAGAGAGAGAGAGAGAGAGCCGAGAGAGAGCAGAGAGAGAACGAGAGAGAGAAGAGAGAGAAGAGAGAGAGAAGAGAGAGAGCCGAGAGAGAGCCGAGAGAGAGCAGAGAGAGCAGAGAGAGAACGAGAGAGAGAAGAGAGAGAGCAGAGGGCAGAGAGAGCAGAGAGAGAACGAGAGAGAGGAGAGAGAAGAGAGAAGAGAGAGAGCAGAGAGAAAGCCGAGAGAGAGCAGAGAGAGAACGAGAGAGAGAAGAGAGAGAGAAGAGCAGAGAGAAGGAGAGCATAGAGAGGGAGAAGAGAGAGAGGGAGAAGAGAGAGAGGGAAGAGATAAAGCAGATAGCAGAGAGAGAGAGAGAGAGCAGAGAGAGAGCAGAGAGAGAGCAGAGAGAGAGCAGAGAGAGAGCAGAGAGAGAGCAGAGAGAGAGCAGAGAGAGAGAGGGAAGAGAGAGAGGGAAGAGAGAGAGGGAAGAGAGAGAGGGAAGAGAGAGAGGGAAGAGAGAAAGGGAAGAGAGAAAGGGAAGAGAGAAAGGGAAGAGAGAAAGGGAAGAGAGAAAGCAGAGAGAGAGAGCGAACGAGAGAGGGATTGATTCAGGAAAAACCTAAATTGAAGAAAAAGTCTAATTACAATACAGGATACTGCAGTACCATTAATGACAGTATAGATTGTACATTTTTTTTTTTTTTTTTTTTTTTTACTAAAAAAAAAAGCAGATAAAGGTGAGAGTCTTAAACTGTTCAGTAGACGCAAATCACACAAATTACAGATTATGAATGAACAAAGCAAGCGCATAAGAATAGGTATTTTAATTTTAAAAAAGTGACGGTGAAGTCTTCTTAGAATGAGACACGTGTTCTATTCTGTTCTATCATATATCCAAAACAATAGTCAGATTAGATCTAATTTCAGGAAAGTGGGCGGAGCCATGCAAATCGTAGCTTTACAACCCAACGTTCAGATGCACAACTAGAAAACTACTGCTGTATAATGGAAATATAATCTGACTTGAGTCCCTGGAGAGAAGAAGGCAGAGAAAGAGGTGCTGCCAGGGTCCCCTTAGAGCAGCAAGCTTGCCGTGTCTGACCATACTCAATTCAGTCGTCATGTAAGGGTACACTAGTGCTGGTCTATCACTGTGTAACTGTAAAGAGGTGGACAGATGGATACAGTGTTCAGGAGCCTCCGGGATTATTTCGGAGCCAGCTTTATTGACAACAACTAGAGAAAACCTGAAAAGTTAGACAACAGCTGTAATATATAAGGAGCATTGACTACCTGGCTCCTGGGATTAGTCCAGACCTGCTATAAAGTATCTCTACAACTTGGTGACCCTTGGCAGTCACTCTCTGTAATTTTAGCCTGCTTCTTTCTGAAAACACTGGGTAGCCACATAAATTGGCAGACTTGTCTACTGTTCAACATCGCAGGTCTACTTTGCAACATGACACAGAAAAAGCAGGTTTTAGAGTGGCTAGCAGGTACATACACTGCAGGTCAGGT